GATGGGATTACCAAGCGTCGGGCATACACTCTCTCTAGGTCGCACGTCATCTAAACTCGTATATATATAGTTTTTTTCTTATAATATTATAAGAACAATTAATTGACACGAATTAATTATTAATAAAAATAATTAATATGACTATAATTAATTTTTATTATTAAGAAAAAATGTTTTAAAAGCTACGGAACTGAAAAAAAAAAATATATTATGCAAAATAAATGTTGGAAAATAGAAAAAAAGCAAAATAGCACTTATACTTCGAAATATGCAAAAATATGCAATATAAAATTTCGTATTTAGCTTCTTAGTTATCTGAAACCAATTTATAGCTCACTTTGGTATCTCTAGGACCTCTCAAAAAAAATATGCAAATGCTAGAAGTTATGAGCCCTGGTAATAAGTAATTATTTTACACGTACTATATTATGTAAAATAAATACCTGTTACTAAATGTTACTAAATGACCAAACAAGAAAAAGGGGGAAAAACAAATAGTTATCACCAAAATGTCCAAACATCGTAACAATATACACGTGTAAATTGTTTATGTAGGTATCAATTTTGTAAGTAAGATTATCTTTGAAGTCCATCAACTCGAGCACTTCACTTTTACTTTAATTAGTTTTTACTTTATGTAAGACATATTTTAAGTAATATAAGATATAATTGTTAAGAACCTAATTTAGGAACTATTTAAATATCAATTTTAATACAAATAAATAAAATTTGATAGTTGTCTTTGTATTAAATAATTTTATTAAACAAGAAAAATATATTCTTTTGTCTGTATAACTTTTTCAATTGTATATACAACTGTATATGCAACTGAAACATTTATTTTTTTTTTGCTCACGTACTTTTAACCTAACCTTAAACGGCGCAGCTCAACATGCGCCGGACGAATTTCTTCGTCCGGCTCCAAATTGTGCGACGCCGTTTGGGATGTATATAGGCTCGCTGGCCAACAACTCCTAACGAGTGACGTCACTACATTTGTCATGCGTTTCGGGTTCTGGTTGGTCCATCAGTGAACAACGTAGAAGGATGTTCGGTGCTGAGGACCACCGACAGCCACCCATTAATCTTTTATCTATGCAGCCACCCAATTCGATTGTCTTCAGGATCCCAGCCGATGAGCCGATGTTACCCGAAGTTCCGTCTTAGATGTACACGTTGTCGTGTCAACTCTGTCCGGTGAATCCACAACGGGGGAACTAATCGCATGGTCGACCAGCGACATGTAATGACGGAACGTTTGTCCTGCATAGTTCGCCACGTTTGGTGTCGACGAGTATCTTATTATGGCTGGCCCTGTTCTAACGCTGGTTGGAAACGTCGATGGTATGTGAAATTCAGCCGATCTAAGCTCCTCGAACACTAACTTCATCTTATCACTCTCCGTCAACTGCAGCTTGATGGATTCAGACGAGGTAAACATATTCAAAAAAACTTAGGAGGCTAGTACAATGATTTAGCAGACACGCAGGTCGATGCTTCAAGGTAGAGTAGCAAGTGGGTAATGACTCATATGTTAACAATCTTCGAGTGACAAAAATAATTTATACTAGTCAAACCTATCGCAACGATGTTTTGTTGAATTTGTATTGGCCAGAAAAATATTAGGAACTCTATTAAATATTGTTACAAATACATTAATTTTAAATTTAAAAAAAAACAAACGTTTTGATTATATGAGACTTGGGTCGACCTTTAGGTTTTTTTTTTTTTAAACAGGAATGTGGCTCTTCTGTGATAATATCAATGTTATTACACTATGGAACCTGTAGGAGGAGTTAGCTGAAGAAAAGATGAAAAGGTGGCAGTGTGTACGTTGGCACCTCTTTTATTTTCATGGATTATTAGCCAGATATTAAATTACTTAAATGACAATAATAAATTATATTAAAACATGTTACTTACATTTTATAATTAATGTTTATAATTAATTATAAATTATTTTATATAGTTGGTTAAGGTAAACGGAGTCAATATAGTAGATTGCAAAGTTCCGCAGATTGGTATTGGGACAAGAAATAAACCGCACTAGTCCCCCTCCCTATAAGTACGTTTTTGAGCGAGGAATACTTTTCACGTTATGTTAACTAGGTTATTATACTCATAAGTAGTCTAGTAGTCATGTTATGTAGAATGATTTATGTTTTACTAATATTATACATATATTTTCTTAATATTGTTATTTTTTAATATATTAAAATAGTTTACTAACCTGCCAACATTAAATTTGTTAAAAGAACATAGGTTCAATATTGGGTAACTTAATACATTAATATTAATTGATATAGTAAAATAATATCAATATTTATTTTATAATTAAAAAAAATATATGCATCAGCAGGTTTTAGTTCTATGTGTGGGTGGGTGTGTTACGACTTACGGATAGCTTCAGTATTTGTCCCTAAGAATAAAATGTTCGTGACGCCACTGCACGTGATGCAGGCATTCTGGCGATATCATATTATGCATAACGCACACGTATAAGATCGGCACTCAGTATTCAGTAGTTTCCTGGGTAAATAAATTAAGATTAATTAATAGAGAGAATATAATACAAAGTACTAAGGGTTAAAGTGGTAAAAAATGTTGTCCAGTTGTGGAAAACTCCTAACTGTAATAACACATGGATACCTTTCTATAAATTTTTAATACTGTTCAGTTCAATATTATTCTTTGATAATTATTTTTTTAAAATTTGAATTAGATTTGTCATCAAACAGACATTGTGTGAAGCTTTGAGCGCAGTAAAAACAAACGACAAATCGTTCGATCACGATTAGTATAACACGCTAATACTGTTTTGATCGTTGATGCTTTATTAAAATTTAATATTTTAGGCTATGCTCGAATTAAAACGATGAGTGTGATGCGTCGATGTCACATCAAGCAGCCGCTTAAGTGGTCCGGATGATTCGCACAGATCGGTGCAAGATCCGAAAAACAGCAATGATGTGGAGGCCGCGAACAACGACGCTTCTTCTATCGGAAGCACGTACAGGTTACCGAATCTCACACACTTATTTCAATGATTTCGTACCACCCATTAACACCACGAGCAACGGCACCATATCGTTTGAAATCATTTTTATGTTTGCTACACGCCACCGCGGCCACGTATTGCGGCCAATAATTATAGTATGGCGAGATGTAATTTCAGACAAATCACAGTCACCTAAATATTTCAAATCTGAAAATAAAATATGAAGACAAACA